ACTACTACTACTACTACTACTACTATTTACATTTTGAGCATATTGCCTTTAAGTTGTTATGAACTTTAATGATATTAATAGAAAGTCAAACAGCATATTTTGTTTAAACAGGCAACATTCTTTCCTCTATTTTTTTGTATTTTATTGTCACATGTTTGCAGCATAAGTAATAGTTTGAAGAAGTTGTGCTAAAGGGAAAATCCTGGCTCCACTGAGAGTAAAAATTATAGTTTTAATTATTATTTGTTCTTGTTTATTCATCAGCATTGGCCTTTGGTATCCAGAAAAAAAAGATAAATAAAACTAAATTATATATTCAGTGTTGATTAAAATCCAGCAGATTAGTTGTAACTTTAATTTTAATTTTTTTTGTCATCTTTGTTATTCTAGTTCTGCAGTGACTGTGATGTTTTGTTGTTTGTGTTTCAGGGTAAAGGTCTCTTTGCTAAAAAGAGCATAAAAAGGGGTGAAACCATTTTCACAGAGCGGCCTCTTGTTTCTGCTCAGTTCCTGTGGAACGCTTTGTATAAATATCAAGGTGAGATTACGACAAAGTGCAGCACCGAACGAAATATGCTTTAGTGATGTCACTATTTGGATTAGCACCTAAATAAGTTGTTGATGACTAATAACCTGTATCTTTGAATTGGTTGATAATTAAGACTGATTTTGAATGATATTTATTAACTATAAACCAACACTATCAGTGTGTAGAGTGATATTCTGTGGAATTTTTAGTCACAGTAAAACTTAGATTTCTTACTAGTTTGTTGCACGTTTACCAGCCTGTGAGTACTGCCTGCGTGCTCTGGAGACYGCAGAAGAAAATGCACGAAGACTCAGCGGCAACCCTGCACTCACCCTTCCTCATCCTGAACTCTGCCGTGTTCGTCCGGAGCTGCACCAGGCCTGCCCTCAGTGTCAGGTCCGTCCACYTACAGTATCACTGCTGGTCCAAARCACTAAATGAGTTCTCTTCACAGGCCAAGACTCACAGTATGGATTAAATGACATGTCATAGATTTAGTTTTACTTTATTTGTATGTTTTCTAGACAGCACAGTAAAAAAAACAGGCTGAATTAAAGCTTCACCAAATTAAGTTACTTATTTATTTTTATTTTTTAAATTCTGTCAACACTCTTATTGTTTTAAGTAAAACACGAGTCCAGAAATTGGTTTCCTAATTTGTGTGAAAGTGTTTGAAGTAAGGCTTTGATGTTTTTAGAAACAGAAATCTGAGGTGCTGCCCCCTACTGGTCATAATGTAGACTGCATGTTAACACACTTCCTTGCTCATAGTGTTTCTGCCTTTGATGTCTTTCTGCAGGTGAAGTACTGCAGCAGTGAGTGTCGACAAGCTGCTGCGGATCAGTACCATCGGGTTCTGTGTCTGGGTCCGTCTCAGGAAGATCCAGACCACCCYGTCAACAAGCTGAAGGATGCGTGGAGGTGATAATTTCACCTCCTCTTTGTGTTTTTTGTGGCTATTTGAAGTCTTCGTTGACCTTTGAACGTGTGCTTTCAGGAGTATGCATTATCCCCCGGAGACCTCCAGCATCGTGCTCATGGCCAAAATGGTAGCTGTGGTCAAACAGGTGAGTCCCTGCTGGCTCCTATAATAATAATTATTTCGCATTTCGTACTGTTTATTGGAAAAAGGTTTGGTTWAAAAAAAATCTATAATTCAGTTTGATGGAACTTTTTTATCCTCCACAGTCAGCCGTGATGTGTTTAAAAAGAAACTGYGCTTCAGAAATCAAACTTATTATTAATTGACAGAGTGCTACCTTTTTTTTTTTCAGGCCAAAGATAAAGCACACTGGCAGAAGCTGTTTTCTCACTTCTGCAGCCGGACAGCGAACGAGGAGGAGGAGATCGCCCATAAGCTCCTGGGAGAACAGTTCAAGGTGAGTTACCTTCATCTTTCATATCYGAAGGTCGCTGAAGTGCGAAATGTTTCAAATCTGCCCAATCAAAAAGCCCACATTGCAGCTTTTCACAGGTCTCTAAGCAGAGACGTCCAGTTTGATTATTCCCTCAGAGGGAGTTTAAAGTCCTGCTGCGCCTCGTTCTGCTTGTGATGTAGATTTTCTGTTTGTATTTTTTGATTTTTTGTTGTTGTTGTGTTCTGCACACAGGGGCAGTTGGCCTTGTTACACAGTCTGTTTACAGCCGCACTTTATGATGAGCATCTCAGTCGGGTGAGTCAATAAAATATGTCCATATTTACAGTCTGGCAACTCATGCAGAAAATAAAAAAGGGAGAGTTTTATCTTTTATCTCAAAAACACCTAATTAGTATGATTACATGCCACTTTTATTTATTTATTTTTGAATCGTCCCAGCTGGTTCAGACCATTTGTTTGTGCCTTTTTAAAAAATATCTTCTGATAAAACAGTTAAGTTTTGTTTGACCAAGAGTTGTTGTCAAAACCATGAGTTCCCAATGGTTCTGGCTGCCACGATTAGTCGTCTAGTCATGATTACTGTCGACTATTAAAATCGTCAACTAATTTAATAGTTAATGCATCATTTTTTTTCTTTCTAACTTCGTTTTTCTCTCCAAACTGCTGCGGCACCTTCCACTGCCACGTCTGCCTTTCTGTCTATGACACACGTAGAGAGTAGTAATTAGGGCTGCCACAAAAGTACAAAGTTAGAAAAAATATGACTCATCGACTATTAAATTAGTCGTTGACGATTTTAATAGTTGACATAATYGTGACTAGTCGACTAATCGTGGCAGCCCTAGAGGGCRTCCGTGAACAAACTAAAGATGTCAACTTAGATGTAAAAATGATGATTTAGACATTATTTCATTGTTATGAAGAATAAACTGTGCTGTGGATGTTTGTGTTGTCATTATGCTGCGTGGTTTATTGAGTTTATGATGATTATTTTTTTAAAACAGTAATAAATCAGGTCTCAAAACGTTGCCGCTGCCATTTTATGGTTTGAAAGCATAATTTAAAACACAAGTTAATATAATGTTATTGACCATTTCTTTCCATTTTTAACAAATACATTCACTTTTAAACCTAATCCTACAAGTTTACAGTAAAAAAGTCCAGCAGGTGACTACTTTAAAGTTTAAGTAATATCTGGATTTGTTTTGAGTCCATAAATGAAAGTTGTAAGTTATGAAACTTTAGTAGAACAACTTTGGTCAATGAGTTTGTTTTTCTTGGCTCATTTTGACAAAAATGTGTTCACATAATGATCATCTCTTCTAACGCTTATAAAACTAGTTTAAATGTTAACCTCAGACTTTGAGCTACGACTCTTCATCGTTTACTTCCACAGAACTGTTCACAAACAGTTTTGAGAACACAACCTTGTGTAGCTTTAAGAGCTGTTTTGCGTCATTTGATTGAAATACTGCCTTTGAATTGGAGAACGACTGAAACCTCCCTCCCAAATAGTTTCACTTCACTGTAAATAATGTTTGACCCTCACTAGATTAAGTGTGCGACTCTCCACTCAGAACTAATGTGTAACTGTGTTGCAGTGGTTTGTGCCTGAGGGTTTCTGCTCTCTGTTTGCCTTGGTGGGAACAAACGGTCAGGGCATCGGCACCAGGTAAAACACCTGCTCCTGTTCATCGACAAACCCACCGCCGGATCTCAGTTTGACGAGCGCTTTCCGTTTTGTTCATTTAATCCCAGTTCCTTGAGTCAGTGGGTTCACGCCTGCGACGCACTGGAGCTTCCCGCCCAGCAGAGGGAGCAGTTGGACTCTTTTATCGACCAGCTGTACAAGGACATCGAAAAAGGTCAGTTTTATCTCAGTGCTGCAGAATTTCCTGAAAATAAGGGAGAAAAAAAAAGTTTTGTCAGCTCTTATTGTTTGAGTGTTTATTAGTGTATGTGTTGCAAGTTTTCAGTCGTTATTTAGTGCGCAGATGCATTAATTTGTGTCTCTGCAGAAACGGGAGACTTTCTGAACTGTGAGGGCTCTGGACTTTTTCTGCTCCAAAGCTCCTGTAAGTTCTAACGATGTAGTCTGGTGTTCATTCTCTGCCGTCAGTAGAAACAGGAAAATACACAAAACAAAAAAGGTTTTTAATTTTGTTTATTTGTTTATTTGGGCCTGTTTGGCCCTTCCAGGTAACCACAGCTGCATCCCGAACGCAGAGGCGTCTTTCCCCGACAACAATTTCCTGCTTCACCTCGGTGCCCTGAGCGACATCAGCCCAGGAGAGGTCAGCTGACACATCTGGATTCACTATAACACATTTTGGTTCTGGATAAATGGCAGAACAACCCTCCGTAGCTCAGCGTTCTCCCTTGTCAGATGATATTAGAAAGCTGAAATCTTTCAGGATTGGAGCGGGTTTGTCAAGCTGTCAGAAAGATTGAGAAGCCCGTCCGCACGGCGCAGTAACATCACAACAGCTGTACTGCTTTCAAAGCAACACTCTCCTTCTGAATGTTGGTGAAAATTTTCRCCAGAAAGAARGAAAACATTTTTTCCATTTTTTTTCTGAGAAATGGCTACCCTAGTAGCATATTCCTGAACCCAAACTCTAAAATACCARTGGGTTAGTGGGGCTCCTCAGCCAGCTCAAGGGTGTGTTTTCTTCACTTTTCAGGAGATCTGCATCAGTTACTTGGATTGCTGTCAGCGGGACCGAAGCAGACACAGCAGGCACAAAATTCTGAGGTAAACACCTGTAATCCCTCGAATAAATCATTCAAACATGGGTCACACTCGTATGATTTCTACCTGGATCAATGAAACAACCTGCCAGGCGATGACGGGCAGTCCAGAGGCAGAAACAGAGCAGGGCTTATGCTCCTCATCGATTAGCGTGACGTCATCTTGTCTTTGAATTACACCCCAAGTCTCAAGCACCAGAAAGAGATAAATGCGTTTTTTTTTTCTTTCACTTCTCAGGTTTAAATTCCAGCCTGGTGTTCGTATCATGTCTGCTCATTTTCAGCAATAAAAAGCGCCACAAGTATTAATTACAAAGTTAAACAGTTGGGTGGTTTAACACTGCAGCTGCAGACAATACATCAGGTTTCATTAACAGCAGATTGAGCAGAACACTTTTTGTCACTCACATTGAAAATGAAGGGTTGTTGCCCATGTCTGTGCGTGTTGGTCTATGCCAGAGATGGGCAACTAAAATGATCTTTCTATCACAATGGGAGGGGCCACATTTTTTTTGTTGACACTACTAGAGGACCGCAGAGCGCTGCGCACTTACCCAAATTAGGAATGCACTAATATAAAAATGTCAACCAATATAAAGATTGTTGTTATGGCTGATAACCAATACTTACAGATATTACATAAAGATATTACACATTATTTATTTACATATGCACAAGCATGGTACCTTAAAACAYGACCAGACCTCTGACATGGCTTYCTTCTTCAGTTATTCCTGGCTGCGCAGCGTCACCATCACTATCATGATCAAACAGATACCACTCCWCCAACCGTTTCCCCTCCCAAAACAGAARTGACAACAAGCGAGAAATCWTTATCGGATGTTAAWATCRGCCCAGTTTAACTYATCRGACCGATTCTGATATGCTAAAAAATAACCAACATCGCCCGATACCGATGTTAATACCAAAATATATTACGCTTCCCTAACCCAGTTGTAACAAAACAGCCATTTAAAAAATGTTTATGTGTGTGTATATGTTTATTAAACTAACATACAGTACAGTAACTTCACTTGTTTCATTCTCAAAGGCATGTGTAACAGTTGTACTCTTGTTTAACAAATATAAGTACAAAATCTTTTAAGCAAACAAAAAAATAAACACTTATTTTAGCGAGCTCAAGTGCAACGGCATAAGATGCCTGATTCTGGTAAAAATGGATGTTTATGTTCTTGCAACTTGAGTAAATGTCTCATATTTAGCTTTGTGCATTGTGTTTTAGTGGTGATTTATTAAAAAATCCTTCATGGCAGACAGCATCTCTGAGTAGACTAAACACATTGGTTTGCCTTGAAATTCTGTGAACAGATTGTCTACCTCCTACAATAAAAAGAATGTAAAAAAGCACATTTAAAGCAGCTTTTATGTTCTAAGAGCTGCTTTAAATGCTTTTTCTAAGTATTAAAAAAAATGTGGGGGTGGCCTCATTGTCAGGCCAAGTCCCGCGCAGGCCACAAACGGCCCACGGGCTGCCAGTTGCCCATCACTGGTCTATACCCAATCACTGGCTGTACATCTACAACTGATGGTATATGCAATGTGCATGCTGAACCTGTAATTATTCCAGCTTTATTCTTTTGTTGGTGCAACATTGTGACTGGGCGTTTTCCTCCCAGGGAGAACTACCTGTTTGGCTGCTCGTGTCCAAAGTGCGTGTCCCAGTTGGACGAGCCGGATGTGACATCTGAGGAGGAAGAGGAGGAAGAGGGCGAGGCAGAAGGGGAAACAGAGGGGGACGAGATGGAAGATGAGATGACAGATGTTTGATGAAGGACTTTTAGATGCATTTCAGCGACTGCGAGGCCAAAAAATAATAAAGACGAGTTCAGACCGTCATCTGCATGTGACCGGAGCTGCTCCAAAGCGTAGAACTGTGCCCATATTTCACTCAGTTTCAAGACCGTCTGCTGTATTTCAAAGCTAACTAAAAGATTAAAACACCAACTCTACAGAGTTCCAACATTTTTTTAGGATTCGTGGGTGTTTTTAACTCATAAGAATTACAAAAACGGCTGAAAAATTCACCCGTTGAACCTGCGTTCGTCGTTTTGTTTTCACAGCTAAGTCTTCAGCAGTTGTGTTGGCAAACACTCTCCTGGTATAAATCCAGCTCGCAGCCAACAAAATCAGTATTCAACCTGTGTTTCTGGCACTCAGCGGGTGTGCAGAGAAATTTGTAAGGTTTTTTTTATTATGCTCGCCTCTTTCATGTTTTACTCAAACTGTTTCTGCCACTTTTCAAGTACAATCTGACTTTTAAATCCATCTTTCACCCTTTCTGAGAAAAATGACTCGTTATCATAATCACGCAGATAATTGGTTACGCGTTACCTTTGCCTGTTTGCTGATTTTTGTTGGCTGCAGGAATAATTTGTAGCTTTATAAACAGTTTAAATGTTACAGGTGCTCATTGCAAAGTAGAAAGAAACTTGATAAAGTAAGAAACAAAATATAAAAAATATATATAAAAAAATACAAAGCTTTTTTTTCTCGTTGATGGTTAATTTGTCTTTAAATGAAATATTGTACGTAAAATTGTTTACCTACAGAAAGAGCTGAAGTGACTGGAATTAAGTTAGAAGTTAAATTTGTTTACCTACACAGACTACTGACTCAGCGATTCTTGAAGCCGGTGCTGCCGAGGCAATAGAAAACAGAATGGGTCCAGTTTCTGAGTTTTAAAGTGATGTTAGCATCATCATTGCTAACGCGGGCTAATGTTCAAAGCAGCGACAAACTTTCTTCGCAGTGCTCGCTATTCCAACTCTTGACTCGCCGCAGAGGCGTGTCTCTGAGTGAGAGGCTTTTTCACCTGAACCAGGAACTGTGACATAAATATGTACCAAACCATTTCTTGTTTTTATCACTTCAGTAGAAAAAATAACTTAATATTAGTTTCTTAATTTCTTCATCATCAGTGATTTTTTTTAGGTAAATAGGAAATAGGAAAAGAGGGAAAAACAAAGAGGAAATGTAATTAGAAAGATTGACATAAATATGTACCAAACCATTTCAACCAATAGGAAAATTCACCTGCAGTAACCACTGTTCAGCCCTTAGAGGGCAGCACCGAGACAGTTTTAGACCAAATATTGCAGAATTAAACAAATTTACATGAAAGTGTCAAAACGTGCACAGAAATACAGAGATAACACCCTTACAGCACGATTTAGACAGTTTATCCACCCCCCCCCCCCCAGTTGTTTTGGGGTTTAGTTTAAAGTTTGAACCRTTGTGCAGCTTAAAGCACTTTTTTAGCTTTTGTGATGGATCAACTTCTAAACAGAAAAAGGACAAACTTGTCCAGAACTGTTACGATGCTCAAATGCTTGGAATAATGCCTAAAATAATCCGGAGGTTCAAAATAGAGGTAGGGTTATACCGTTGTGCAATAATTTCACTATAATTAAAATGTATTAATTACTATAGTAGCTCACAATATCATATACAATATTGCCAGAGCAAATACAGTGATCATATTAACAGCAATATGACCAATGGGGTTGGGTGATTAACATATAATCTGCATACAATTTAGAGGCAGACCAACATATAATTCATTAAATGCTGAGTATAAAACATCCTTCTTGGCTGCACATCAGATTTGGTGTAAAGAATAACTGGCTAATGTACGTGTTTTTGATTCAATGGTGGTAAGTGTGTTTTTATTTTGATCTGTTTTTAAACAATTACATACAATTAAAATAGTCCATATACCTGTATATTTGTAATATTAAGTGGCCAAAATAATCTGCAGGTGGCAAATATGATACGTGACCAAGATCACTGTAAACCACAGCGACATATTTAGCACCTGTACCGTAATACTAGTCCTCAGTGTGATAATCTGACGCTTTCATTATATATTCTAACTTATTTTCATGTGAATATTGTTGCACATACATACGGCATATTAATCTCCATGGTCCATTTTCACACTTATTCATGTTGCACACCAGCACCGGATGCTCCCTAACTGGACTGTGATGCTCTGCGCTAGGCAAAGATGGCGTTTAAGAACATTTAAGAAGATTTACACATCACTGTATCATGAAAACTACGAGAGTAAACTCTTTCAAAATGCRCTTCTTGGGAAAGTTCCGATATTTTAATGTTTGCTTTCACACTTTGCAATGAGTACCCTTTAATAATAATAATAAAAAATGCCCATTGTGACAGCTTTAGGAATGCCTTATGAAGCAGCAGCTTGTTTGCGTCACCAAATGCTGTGAAACTGTAATAGGACATAATAATGCAATTAAGGTGTATAAATGTCCACATAGCTTAAAGAGATTATTTGTTACTCGGAATTCGAGCATATTAGAATTAGTTATAAAATAATTGGTGTTCACGCCCCAGTGTTTTAGTCAGAATGAGATTATTGTAATTAATATGGAAATTTTTCTCTGCATGTATCCAGAGTCATTACGAGAGCAACATTCAGACCTGCAATGCAGAAACAGGGATGGGAATAAAACCACGKACCTGTTTGAATACACGAGAATTCGAGAAGAGGGTCTCCATTAAGCAGTTCAGGAAAACCCAGATCAGTTGTATGATAATTGTGACAGACCTGTTGTGAAGCAAGTATAACTCGTCACTGCAATTACATTTAAATGAAATGGCTTTAAARCGAAGACCAAGCGATTAATCATCAGAGAGTGCCAGAACAAATCTGCCACGATGCTGACTCCACTGTTAGACTCCACCGTTTGACTCCCAGCTTCACCCATCAAACAGATTTTCATTTTTTTCTGAGTTAACTCATCGAGAAGGCAAAGTAAATAATCCAAGACAGTTTAATTCTCTGCTGTTTTTACTCATTTTTTTTCCTTTGGACTATGCATGCTGTGCAGTTGAGGCTTTTATTTCATCATAATTCCGTTATAATTACAAGGCTGTCATTGGGAAGGCATTCAGCCTGTGAAATACCATTTGGACTTCATACAATGATCTATGGGTTTGACTTAACCCTCATGTAATGTATTATGGAGACCTTGAGTGGAAAATTGCTTTGTCAGTTACTGTTTGCCCTTTATTGAGAACTGTATTTTATACCATGGTTCCACATGAACGAAATGGCTGCTGTTGCCTCGCATGAATCAATATGGGAACAACGGTCTGCAATCACAAATCCCAACATTTTCACTTAAATATCAGAAATAATAAATAAATAATTCCAGCTTTCTTGCTATGTATTCAGCACCGTATGACTGGAAAAAAAAAACACGTGTAAAATTGAAATGCAACAGCAGCAAACGAGAGAGATTGTCATTTTTATGACTCTTTCATAAACCATTTAAATTGGATGTCTGAGTCATTTATCTGGTTTACACAGCTCCTGGACTGTACTAATATTTGTTCACTCCTTGCATATTAAATACCAAGGCTTAACAAAATGAGCTTTCTCAAGGGGGGGATTGGTCTTGTTGTCTAAGGCAACTTGGTGTCAAAATAGAGCTCTGTTAAATAATAATAATAATTAAAAAAAAGACTGTTTTCTGTGAAATCGCTTCTTATTTTGATTCCAGTAGCATTAAAAAATGTTATTTATTGTCACCCATTTGGTTTTACACTTTTCTTTATTTGACAGATTTTTTTTTCTGAGTAAACAAGTCCATAAAATCATTGCTGCTAAGCTCYGAGGGAATCTCCTGTTCAGCCTCACTGCTTCTTGGCCACAGTGTTGAGCAGAAACCTGAGATTATTCCTTTTATTTTCTCAATCAGCTGTGAGGCGTGTTTGAATCTCGTCCTGCACAAAGTGGTTTTATGGAACAATCTTTCAATGCTTTCAGATATGATAAAACTGCATCAAGGAGTACACCTATTCAGAGTCAATACTTTAATTTTTTTTAAAAGCAGAGCAACTTTGTAGCCATTTGAAGGGAGACTGGTGCAATATATATCAACTCGACATTCCATTTGGGTCGGAAGAAAGTTTCAGAGAATTTCGGCAGTATTTACAAATGAAATGAAATGGATGCAGGTGTTCTTTTTTTATTTAGTCAAAAGTCATTTTAAAAAAGATCAAAACAAGGAGGGTTTTGGAGAAATGCCACCAGATGTTACATATTCATGTCAAAATTAGGGCAAGTGAGCAAGATTGTTCACATTCTGACACAAACTTACAGTAAGTGAAGGAATAAAATAATGCAGAAGTTATTGTCAATAAATATAAATATCCAAATTAGCCACTGAACTAATAATAAAGCAAAACATACATATTTCACGCTGCCTTTCGTATTCAACGTTTCATGTTGTGAAAATTAAAAACCAAGTTAGTCAAATATTGTAAATGGTGTTTTGGATTATATGCAATATTGTAAGAACTTAGCAACCATCACACCAAATTTCAGCTCAACATTTGTAAATTTGACTAAATTGTAGTTGYATCCAATGATTATTTTCTGCAAGTTTTGRTAAAATCCATCCAATGGTTTGATATATTAATCTGTCTGTTAGGATTCCTGTGCAAGGACCCAGAAGTGTTAAAAACATTCACGTCATTACTTTTTAAAAAAAAATTCCGGAGAACAATCAACACACGACTTCTCTCCCCACCATCTTGACTCCTCCTAAACTTAAGTTAACTTAATTCCTCTTACTTAAGTAGAAATATAGATACTAGATTATAAAAACGCTGAGTTGGTTTGGGGGTGGGTTTTCTCTGGGTACTCCGGTTTCCCCCACCCCCAAAATATAAATAGGTTGCCTTCAGGCGCAGGCCTCCCTTGACAAAGAGATCTGAGATCTCAACAGGACTTGTCTGGTTAAATAACGGTAAATAAAATAATAAATAAAAACACTTTTTCGGAAGAAGAAGTATCAACTCAAGCTTTTTTACTCAAGTAAAAGTACTGTTTTAAAAACTACTTAATGTAAAAAAGTAAAAGTAATGTAAAGAAAAAAACATTTAGGCTAAAAAATATAAGGCCGCACCATAGAAGACTATAGTGCACAATCCCACCTTTCCTAAAAACATTTTTCTAAAGGTAATTATAATAAAATATAATAGAATGTTAATGAGAGAAAATCTTTTGTTAATCTTAATGTAAGGAGTAGAAGTAAAATGTTTGAAATATAATTACTCCAGTAAAGTATAAATAACCAAAACTTCTTCTTAAGTTGCAAAGTATTTATACTTCATTACTTGACACCTCTGCAAGGACCAGATAAAAACACAGAAGTGAAATAGTTTTTTTAGCTTTCTTTAAAGAGGGAGAGATTGTGTGGCATTCTGAAGATTTACAAATCTGTTTTTGCTTTTAATTTTAGGAAACGTCTCACTTAATGACACGCTCAATTTACTGTATATTTTGCTTCCATTTATCTTTCTCTGCCGTTCACATGGGTTATATAAAAGTTAGCAAATACCTAAAACCTGACAAAAGTGGGTTTATTTAAGGTGACAAATGGCCTTCATAGAGCTAAATCTCTGTTAGAGAGGATGGATCCATTTTATGTTCTGCTATCGGACTGTTTAAGAGCAGATTTGTGAGGAGGAGATTCTATGTTTAAAAGTCACATTTTAATTGTTTTTGGAATTGGCTGTAAATAAATATTGGATTGAGAATTCACTTTGAGACGAGAAACAATAAAAGAAGCATTGAGAAAACAGATTAGTGTGGTTGGTGTTTATTGCACACACAAGTCAATGGGATAAACGTCACTTTGACAAAAAAAAAAAAAGCTAAAGTGATGTTTATTCACTGTGACACGACTTAAGATTTAAAAAGTGAAGTGATGCCATTATACCTCTTATAAAAAAAAAAAATTCCCTTCTCACCCTCTGCGGGTGGTCTCTTTCATCCTCTGAGCTCGGGTCCTCTACCAGAGGCCTGGGAGCTTGAGGGTTCTGCGCAGTATCTTAGCTGTGCCTAGAACTGCACATTTCTGGACTGAGATGTCTGATGTTGTTCCTGGGATCTGTTTTAGCCACTGCTCCAGTTTGGGGGTGACTGCCCCGAGGGCCCCGAGGGCCCCGAGCACCACTGTGGTCTTCACCTTCCAGGTGTCTGTCTGGATCTGGAAGTCCCACAGGATCTTAGCTCGGTCATTCTCCAC